CGACGATTTTATATTTCTGCAATTCTCGTTAATATATTGGAATGAGGCTGCATGTTATTTCCTGAAAACCTCTTCAAAAATTTCTTCTCAACGACTAATTTTTTTAGATATAAAAAGAAGTAAAACTATGCCTACAAACTAGATTGATCTAATATAGCACTAAATAAATGATATAAACACTATGAACATCACACACTCGTCTATGTTGGATCGTCAATTTAAAATTCAATCTCTGTCATAGTTCTTTTAAATTATTTTGTCCTCAGAATGAAATTATAACATCTTCATTTAAACTCAAACTTAAAAAAATATGTGCAAGAAAGTGAATAGCATTTTACGAGAATAAAATGATAAAAAAAAATAGAATCAAATTTTAACAATATAATAGGAGTAAATCATGACTATCAATCAAAATATCCAAGGCTGAAGAAATATTGCTGACAGAAAGTATTTATAATAAAATAAAACTCGTTTTTCTATTTTTAATATTTCTGAGCAAAATTTAAAATTGATAGCTTAAACTTAGTACAATAAGCTACCATCAAATTAGTGTCATCTTTATTCACTCTTTGAAACAGGAAAGGAAAGCGTATGGAACAAAGAGACACATGTAATAAATTATTCAACGGATAAACATTTTACAAGCTATCAATAAATAAGACATACTTATGAATACAATAGGTTATTCCACTAGACTAATATATCAATATAAGATAGACTAATATATTATTTATACATCATTAACTTAAGCATTAGTGTAAATTCTCCAATTTTTTCAAATCATAATATTTATATTTTAATTGTTGATGAATGGAAAAGATTTTCTAAAATGTTAAAAGATTAGAATGTTTCAAACTTGATTGTTTTAAAATTTCGTACACAAATTCAGTGGAATTCATAAAGAATGACCGAGAATAATTTTTAATTTTATATTTAGCCTGAATTTGTAAAAATATTATAACTAAAAATTTTGTCAACATTATTTCTAGTTAATATTACTAGTTGCTTGTGCAGCTAAGTTTCATTGCAGTGCCTGAAACCTTCATTAATGTCGTTCGTTTCTATTTCTATCATCACTAACCCTAATTACCAACATTATATCATCACCATTCCGGATTAAACAGCAATGCGATACTAGATGATATGACCACTAGTCTGGAAAAAATAAAAAATACAAATGCACTCGTTGAAAACCATCACTAAATGAAATTAATTTGTGCGGTATCTGTCAGCGAAGTAACAAATAAAGTAAATATAAAATTTCCTCAAGTCCAGCAATTTCAGTAAGACTTAATAAAGTTTCAAAATTTTAATTAAGTGCTTTAGAACTAAAGAAATCGAGTAATGGATTTCTTTAAACTGAAGTCCAGTTATAAAATTTAAATTTACAAATAAATGAAACTGGTCTTATGATTGTATTCCCAAAGTTGACTAACTTTTTAACTATAACATTCATAAATTAATGGTGAACTGCGACCCGCGACCTGTATAATCAATACAGTATTCATCACATCGTATTTTACCAGTTTTAACATCCAAAACTAAAATTATAGTTGCGATTAAAAAAAAACACAGATTTGTAAACTGTAAACTATTAATAAAAAAATTGGCGAAAGAACTACAGACAAATAAATGATAGTGTTAGATGATGAATTATGAAAAGTAATTTGATAATTTACTGAATGAGATTGTTATCATTTAAATATTATCAATGAAATAATCAACAATTATGTTCCGCTTCATGAACCCATTTATGGGAAATAAATTTCTCTCGAAATTTCTTTCCACTACAAATACCTGATTACCGCTTTGCATATGAAATGAATATGGGATAATATTGTCACTTAGAACATTTAGACCAATGTCATAATTCACGCAATACTTCCCATTACCAAGATTATGAATCTCAAAAGTTATATTTTGTTTTCAAGATTGAGATGTAAAACAAGATGGATAAATTTATGCACTTTTCATACCAGCTAATTTTTTAAAGTTCAAAAATCACTTCAGATTGATTCTAAGGGAAAATATGTAAATAATCTTTCTAGCATTTCTTGTTACTTTATGGTGCTTTAATAAAAAATTACAACCTATTCTGTAATGATATAAATAGTCTAATTGTGACATAAAGCTAAGAAATGTTAAGTAAATTAGAAAGAGATCTATGCAACCCATATATTTGACGAATAATATATCAGAAAATTATATTTACCACTTGCAATTACTTTCGATGGTAGAAATAAATCTCGAAATACACTCTCCATGTACCATTTAAATGAATGACACTTCAAACGTTCTCGGAATTTCTTCCCTTCTAATACATCATCAAAGTCAATCTTAAATTATCATTTGATCCATTTTGATGATTGAATCCCTGCAAGAATGTGATTCATTGTCAAATCTTACCAAAGGAGGAAAAATTCCAGAGAAATTGATTGATCATGATTGATATTATTTGTCGTAAATAAAATATCATTAAGATATGGCAGTACTTTCATAAGTTACTGATAACTGAGTTATGATGAAAAATTATTTCATTCTCTTCTGAAAAATTTTTTTAGAATAAGAGTGACTTTATCACCGAAATGATAATTCATCTGCAACCAAAAAAAAAAAAAAACATCAAGCATTTCATACTTCCAAACTTGATTAATGAACATTAAGCAAAAAGAATACCAGTTTATGATTGAACCGATTGTAAAAAATTTCGTTGTAGTCGTCTAACCAACCTCAAAATAAATTGAAAATTTTTTAAAATTTAAAACTGTCATAAATTTTCAGTTGTTATTATTTATTGAGAAGTCAAAAATAACAATTACAGGCCTTTTTGACAAGCAAGGAAAGTAAAAAACTTCAACCAAAGATCAGAAATTTTCCATTATATCCATGAAAATTCCACAATAATATTGGAAAGACCAAAAATGATAGATTTTGATCAAAGATTTTCATTATATTCAGGTGGAAATTTTAATAAGTTAATCAAAAAATTTGCAAATTATAGCGCAAATTTTAGTTTCTAAAACGAATCTTTTTTCATTATCAATATTATCATTATATCAGTGAGAATCTTTGAAGAAATTGAAACATATTTTGAGCGTAAATTTCAGCACTTCAGGTAGCATAATTTAATAATTGTAATCTGAGGTATAACACTGCTTATACCTGATATCTGGATGATAATAATTTATTAAAATTCGTCAAATAACCAAAACTAGTTATTTATGCTTCTCATTTTACTTGTTTTAGGTGCTCACGGAGAAATCATCGACTAGGATAATTCCTTTAAGCGGATGAACAGGTGTTCTTTCCAGTAGTTATGAACTGTGCGCAGAAGCACTGACCACACTTCATTGTGGAAACAAATAATCACCGGTATATTTGATAGATCATCACAATAAAATGCTTTTTAACATCTGAAACTTACAAATTTCTGTCTAGGCTTATAAAATTTTAAAATTGAATTTTAAAATAGCAAAGATTGTAAAAAACGGAAAGTAATTCAATAATTCATAATAACAATCAATTTGAGATAGGAATCTTAAGTTAGAATACAGGAGATCAGCATATTCTTTTTATCCCAGATAATCATACCTGTTTCATTCGCATCTGCCGCATAAAACTTATCAATGAGATACTGTTTCTGGTTGAAA